GAGACTCTTGAGAGTAGCCTTCAATGGGCTTCTCCAGGTGACAGCCTTGTAACCTCTGTAAACTACTTTCAGAAGTCCAGTTCAATATGTGTAAATCTACATTCAAGGCAATAAAATCCACAAAAAAAATTGCAAAACAAACAAAAACTGCCCAAAAGACCAAAAGGACCATACACTGGCACAGAAACAAAAAAGACCAAACAGACCAAGAAGATAAAAAATTGGCAAAAAGAGTCACTTCGTCTTTTTCCTTCTGGTCTTTGTGGTCAAGGCCAAGAACAGCTAACAGTTCTTTTCTTGCATGCTGCGTAGCATGGCGAACGTGTTCGCGCCCCTTCACATTCGCGCGAACAGCTGAGACCCATAGACCCTGCTATTGCCAAGCTGCTGGAAGAATACACAGATCTAGTTAAGCCGCCTACAGGAGTAGTGCCGCGGTCGATCCAGCATTGTATAGAGATAGAGCCTAGCAGTACGACTCCTAAGGGAGCGATTTACAGAATGTCGCGAAGATAGCTAGAGGAGCTGCGTAAGCAGTTAGACGAGCTCCTTGAGAACGGTTGGATTAGGCCCAGTTCGTCTCCATTTGGAGCACCTGTTCTCTTTGTCCCCAAGAAAGAGGGAGAGCTCGGAATGTATATAGACTATAGAGGTCTCAATGCTATCACAGTGAAGAATGCAGAACCACTGCCCCAGATAGATGATCTGTTAGATCGGGTGCAGGGCTGCAAGTATTTCTCGAAGATAGACTTAAAGTCCGGCTATCATCAGATAGAGGTTCATCCTGATGATCAGTATAAGACAGCATTCCGGACTAGATATGGGCACTATGAGTTTATAGTTATGCCCTTTGGACTAACCAATGCGCCAGCGACTTTCCAGCGCTGTATGAACGATTTGTTTAGGCCGTGGTTAGATAGATTTGTTGTAGTATATCTAGATGATATTCTAGTGGATATTCTAGTGTTCAGTAAGACCCTCCAGGAGCATGAGGGCCATCTGAGGCAGGTATCGGAGAAACTTAGAGAAACTAACTTCAAGATCAATGCAAAGAAGTGCGAATGGGCCAAGACACAAGTGTTGTACTTCGGCCACGTCTTAGACGGAGACGGCGTTAGACCTGAAGATAGCAAGATTGCAGCGATTAGAGATTGGCCAACGCCCCGCACGCTGACAGAGTTGCGGTCGTTCCTAGGCCTAGGTAATTATTACAGGAAGTTTGTCAGGAAGTTCTCTACCATCGCTGCGCCCCTTCGCAGGTTGCTAAAGAAAGAAGCAATCTGGAAGTCGGACAAGGACTGCACAGCTGCCCTGAAAAGATTAAAGTGGGCCCTGATAGAATATCCATTCCTTAAGGTAGCCGATCCGTCCCTGCCTTTCGTTGTTACCACTGACGCGAGTCAGTATGGCATAGGTGCTGTTCTACAGCAAGACGATGGCAATGGATATAGGCCCGTAGAGTTCATGTCCGCCAGGATGCCTTCAGAGAACTCTACGCTCTCAGGCAAGCATTAAATCATTGGAAGCACTACGTGCTTGGGAGGCACTTCAAAGTCTACTCAGACCACGAGACTCTAAGGTGGCTGAAGACTCAGGCCAAGATAACACCTAAGCTTACTAGGTGGGCCGCAGAGTTAGACCAATATGACTTTGAACTGAAGCCAGTTAAAGGGAAGTACAATGTAGTAGCGGACGCTCTGAGTAGGAGAGCTGATTACTTTGGGGCAATAGTTTACTATTTGGATATAGGGAGAGACCTGCAGCAAAGAGTTAGAGAGGCATATGCACAGGACCCTATCTATAGTGACCTCCTCAAGAGAGTTAAGGAGGCTCTAGAGTCTGAGCCAGACTACCGCACTACAGACGGCTTATTATTCAAGAAGACTAATGTAGCTGGCCGCCTATGCATTCCCAACAATGAAGAGATCTGTAGTTTGATCTTAGGGGAATGCCATGACACAGAGGGACACTTTGGTTGGCAAAAGACACTATAGCCAACCTCATGTGCACGTACATCTGGCCTGGTATGAACGCCGACTGCATAGAGTATGTCTGCAGTTGTAAAGTGTGTCAGAGAAACAAGACCACTATGCGAGCCCCTCTTGGTCTTCTCAGACCTTTGCCTATTCCTGATAGACCCGGGGATTCTGTGTCCATCAACTTTGGACACTGGGGTAAAGAGTAGGCATGGCAAAAGTCAAGTCATGGTTATAGTTGATAGGTTTAGTAAATATGCAGTTTTTGTTCCTTTGCCTGCAGAGGCACGCACAGACTTAGTAGTTCAAAAGTTTTTTGACCATTGGGTCAGTGAGCATGGTATACCGTTGTCGATAGTTAGTGACAGGGATACTAGATACACCAGTCAGAACTGGCAGGAACTAATGAGAGTCTATGGTTCCAAGTTGTTAATGTCATCTGGCCGTCATCCTGAGACTAACGGCCAGACTGAACAGATGAACAAGCTCCTGCAGCAAGTTCTTAGGATGTATATTAGGCCCGACCAGATCAACTGGGATGAGATGCTCCCTAAGGTAGCCAGTACATACAATAATAGCGTGCACTTATCTACGTGTCGCACTCCCAACGAGCTGCACAAGTCTTTCAGATCGAGCAGACCGTTCGATGGATTTAACCGGGATCAGATTCAGAGGCTACCGCCCGGAACATGAGAGTTTGCGATACAGCACGAGAAAAAGATAGCTACCGTTATTGACAACCTCAAGAAAGCCCAGCACAAAATGATAGAGCAAGCTAACAAGCACCGTCGCCCCTCAGAATTTCAAGTAGCAACTTAGTCTGGGTCAAGTCAAAAGAGTTTGCTCCTGAGGAGAACATCTCACAAAAGTTATTGCCTGCGTATAGAGGACCGTGGCCAGTCCTAGAAGTCAAGGGCGGAGAGGATGGACCGTCCTATACTATTGAGATTCCGGTACACCTCCGCACCTACCCAGTGTTCCATGCGTCGAAGTTGTTGCCTTGCGTCACAAGTCAACAGTTCCCATCACGCAGATCTATGATCCCTCTGGATATGGATGGAAGATATGACAGCAAGGGGATAGTAGGTGAGGACGTCTTTAGGACGGGAGGTAGAGGTCGTCCACAGAAACAGTACAAAGTCAGATTCGCATTTCAGGAACCAGAAGACGACCGCTGGTTCACGCGAACAGAACTTCTAGCGACAGCTCCCGACATAGTTCGAGCCTACGAAAGAGACAAGAAGGGGAAAGGTCCTGCCTTAGACTGAAGTATTCTCGAAGGACCTAGAATTTAGGCCGGCGGGAGTGTAACGGTTTTCACGTTCTGTAGGCACAGATGCGGGCACCAGGATTCGATCCCAGATCTCACTTTGCCCATGTACAGTATCGAGTCGGTGTTTGAACCCGTAACCTGTGTTTTGGTAGTGGTTGTTGCCTGTCGTTGGACTGTATAGTTGTAGGGGTTCGATCTGTAGGTCTGTCAAATAGGGGTCATAGTTCTGTCGAGGTCTTAGCTGTAGGTGTCCTGAAAGGTCAAGGTCGTAGCTGCTATAGTATTCGTAAGGCCAAGTCCACAGACGTCCGGAAGGTCCGGAAGTGGCCTTTCGAAGTAGCCTCACGTTTAGCCAGAGGCAAGTGGGCAAGTGGTGAGTCCAATGCGTTACGTCGGCAGTGTGACTGCATCGAGTTGGCAGTGCAAACCCATGCAGTCAGCGGTACCGGTCCCAGTCAGTCAGAGTCCAGTCAAGCAAGTACCGTGTGGGACTGTGTACACCAAGGGCCTGGGAAAGGGGCAGACCAACGAGTTACAGAAGTATAAATCAAGAGGCACCGCCCAGTCATTCATTCGTTCACTGCGTAAGCGCTGCTACAGCGTCTTGTGCGAAGGTGGTCTGCAGGTTGCCCGAGGACAAAGTGGGCTGAAGGGAGATCGTAGCCATAGTCGGTAGTGGTAGTGCGGCCATAGCCGCTGTAGGAGGAAGTTAGACTTACCGTGCGTGCCTGGTGGTATTCAGGGTGATCCAGAGTGAGCGTGTGTGAACAGTGGAGTTGAACACAGTGACGAGAGTTGTGATGTACAGGCGCTGATGCACCATAGTCTGTTGAAGCGAGGTTACATCTGAACTGTGTTCTCGGTTGCCATATCTCTGAGCTTGGTGT